ATCCCATGAGACCATCAAGCCACTGCCAAACGATTCTTCTTTCAATATCCTTAAGATAACACCATCATAACAATAGAATGAGTACCACACTCAGTACTTCCCACAATGACCACTATTTACCTCTTGAAAAGAATATCCATACGGTAAGGCCATGCCGACAAATCCTTAAAATAAAAATGAGCAAAAAAAATCCAAAATGCTCAACACCCAACTATCTCCTTAAAACAATCAACGATGCAATTAATCACCACTTTCTTCCTAAATATTGAGGTCACCCCAAAACTGACTTACTCTCCAATACAGGAACCTTAAGTACTAATACCTCCATGATCATTCTTCCTAAAATAACTACACAACTCCAATCCCCTGGAAACAACGAGCCTCTATTAATCAATCGTTCATTCAAAAGTGATACCAACCCAACACGAAACACACACATTACTCATGATAGCCGACACCATAGTCAACAACCTGTTACAAGAAAATAAAAATCCTACACGGATGCTACAAGAACAATCCCTAAGAGGGATAATAGACACCATGCCAAACGGTCAACCATACAAACTACACTCTACGAAAACGACAAAACAATGGTCTCTCATTGGTATCTAACTGGACACTCAAGTCATACCTACAACTGACCTATCCGACCAAACAAAAGGGTTATACAACTCCTACGCCCTTAACACTATCATTTTCCAACCAATCACTACAATTACTATACAACTCAACGGAATGTCCACATCGATTTCATCTGAGTTATGTGCCTGCAACTAGCCCAGTATGGTAGCCTTCTGGTGCCACCTGCACATGCTCATGCATACCCGCCCACAGGGCCACAAAATAAAGAAATCAAATAGAATAGGCCACCAAGCTCAAGTGGTCACTCCTTATCCTGGCTCAACACAATCTGTGACCAACACTCTATGGTCACCAAACAACATCACATTAAGCTTCTGCCTTCCTCACTGGAAATTAAAACAAAAGGTGCAACCTACTCATCTCGTTACCAACTCAAAGTCAACCTCAACTCTTACTCCCAAAACGGCAATCTAAAAGACAAACTCTCAACCTTAATATTAGTAAACTTCTAAATAAAAATCCAAATACAAACCTTGTTCAACCCGTACAACACCTGAACCTTACAAGCCATACACTACATATCACCTCACGTCCTATGACATGTAATCAACTTTGCTTGCATGAAAGGGTCCCATGACTCACACACCATACCCTACTAACCCATTATCCTAAGAGTTCACTCACTACACTGAGAAAACACAACACAAACTCTCGCTCGTTCACGAATATGAGAACTTTCGTCCCGGAAGACACCTAAGATCAAACCCTATCACCGTTACCAGTCTCTAGGGAAAGGACTCCTAATAGAACCTTGTCATTTTAGCATGCCTTAAAAATTTAACCATGGAATTAATCTCATGAATATTGTCACTTATCATTAAATACTTAAGCATGCTTTAATTCAATAAGTAATTAACACCTAAGCAGATAAGCAAATAAGCAATTAGGTATGCTTTTCAAAAAAAAATTAAACACTGAGCACATAAGCATATAAACATGCAATTCAACTTCCCATACAATCCTAGGTAGGCCTCTACCTGTCATCCTAATGGTATTCGAACCATTGCTCTAATACCAAATTTATAACGACCTTAAACTGATACCATTTACAAAAAAATTCGGCATGACCTCTGCTAAAAAGGGGCCTACAACAACCTGCTTAATTAAAAAAAATGCAATGACCTTTCTTAGCCTTTCAAGACTTATCCAACTTGTCCCAACACACAATACAAAAAAAAATATAATACATTCCCCAATACTTCCGCATCAACAATTTGCTCGAGTTGGCCCATCATCGTCATCCCATTCAACCTAAGCATTTACATAGTCTCAATTTACATCCAAAAATAGTCAAGTACTTTAGTTATGTTACATGGCCATGATAAAATAAATTAATACTCTTTTCCATAATTTGAGACTTTAAAAAAAATGAACCAAACACAAAAGGTATCAAAATAGATCTTTAGTTCTCTTCATGCTTGAGAGGGATCAGCATCCACTATTTCCTTTCCCGGCCTTGAAAAATGTTAAATAATGGGGTGAGTGTAAAGCTTAGTAGGTAGTGCCTAAGACGCACCTCTTGTGACCCCGTGAACCCAAATAATGAATAGGACAATAGGGAGAGGGGTCATGCTAAATCGAGGAAAATACAATGTAAATCTGCAAGTTCAAAACAAATGAATGTCGTGCCATGAATGCAATGTCATGCATGTCACTCCCCATTTTCAGAAAACTTCCATCACTTCATAAACTATTAATATAACCCACCCTTTGGTGACTCCGCAGCGACATGAGAGAAGGATTGGCTACTGTCCTTGACCTTTGGTACCTCCGCAAAGTCATTTGGGGCCCAGATAGCTCAACCACGCTAGGGCAATCTCCCTAATTCCCTCTAGGCTATATTAACACACCGACCCTTTGGAGACTCCAAAGCGACCAGGTTTTCTCAAAACCATTTCATTAAATTCTCCCCAAAAATCCCCTTTTTCATTCTTATCAAATCATTGTACCCTTTTTCATGCCCATGCCATGAATGCATATTACATGTCTTTTTAATACTATGAAAATTGAGAGAATTATTATCACACAATTAACATACTTCCACATAAAATTTTCAACAAATTATTAAGCATCATAGGTATGGAAAAATTAACATGTTAAGCATACTTTACAATAATTCTAAGAAAATTTTCATAAGCTTCCATGTATCATTTTTAGCAATTTTGTCAACACAATAACGTAAAGAAATTAATAATGAAGCATGCTTTTTATACAAATCAACAATTACACATATAGTCATGAACTTTAAACCCACAAGAAAATCATTCTAGAAGTAATTAATTTCAATTAAGCATGTTGGCATCAAATAACAAGAATTGACTCACAAAGGAACAAGAAAATGCAAATTAGAGATCCTTACCTCAATTTTATGCAAAACTCTCAATTTTTTGTCATCTCAAACCTTATGATTTCAAATTTCCCGTAGTGCACCAACTATGGAATTGTTCCTATCAACTTGTAGGTCTTGCCGTGAGCTTCAATTTGCCGTAAACAGTACTTAAAAATACTAAGAATTGAGAGAGGAATCAATGATTGAAGTCTTGAAGTGAAAAAAAAAGGAAAATGAAAGCTGAGAGTAACAAAGAGAGAGCAGCGGGAGAGAAAGAGAGAAATGAGGCTAGAGATGGTCTCTTGACCATTAAAAATAAAGGAAGAGTGGGCCCCACCATTTTCTTTTTATTTTCCCTTTTTCTTTTACTTTAATTTACACCATACATAAACATATATACACATACACATATAATAATTTACAAGCACATAAAATACATTAAATAAAATGCCTGGAATGCTAATGAACCCGATAAAAATCCCCGTATGCAAAAATTTCGGTAGCGGGTTCCACACGGGAACGTCCAGTCCGAAAAACTGAAAAATGCCAAAATGATCACCCTTACATTTAGAATCCTGGACTCAATGACATGTCCCAAACAACTCTAGGACATAACCAGCACACTCCATGGTGTTCGGCAGACAAAATGACAAAAGACAAAAATGCCCTTGCGACTATAAAAATCTGGAAAAATAGAAAATTGTGAAAATCGGAAACATCACATTTTAGGACAATGAAAAGAGGTGACGGACGACGATCCACCACAAGTTTAGACGAGATTGGAGACATGTTTTATTTTGCTATCTTTTGTATTAGAATTCTAATATTTTGTAAATATAATCTTAACTATTTTGTGAAACTTTAATTTAATTGGTATAATGTTGTAAGTTATGGAATTTTAAATTTTAGTTATATTTTATGGACTATAACTTGATGTAACTAAAGTGTATTTCTTGTTTGGATGAGATGGAGGAACGAGACTTTTTATATGTATGTAATTATTTTGGAAATGTGGTACATTATTTATACTATGCATTGGGACATGATAGATTAGTCTTAAGGCCAAGTGAGGTCATTTCATTTTTATGTATTTCAACAAGTTGTATAGGAATTTTTTTTGCGGAGGTCATGCCGAAATTTTATATATTTTATTATTATTATTATTATTATTATTATTATTTTGGTATCTTTTGAGTCGTTACAATAAAAGTCAACTTTTTCTTGATATTCCCTCCTCAATTTCCAAATATACATAAAAAATATATATATTTACGCATTTATATATATATATATATATATATATATATATATATATATTTATTTGGTTTACATATATATACATTAGTTTTTCTTTTTAAATCATGCATAACCAAACTAGAGAATGGGAATGGTCATTTCATTCTCTGGTTCATTCCATTTCTATCTTATTTCATTCCTTCATACCAAACTAGCCCTAAGTACATTTATCCATTAATTCTCTTTAGATATATCTCTCTCTCACACACGCGCGCGCGTAAAGAAAAAAAAAATTAGTTAAGAATATTGGGATGGATTGGGTCTTCACATAAACCCCTTTGCACACCACTCCATACTGTAGGGATAATTTGCAAATTTCTTATAGTTTAAAGGAGTTTGCACACGAAAGTAATTTGGAAACTTTTTGTGCACATCTGACCGGTCCCTAAAAACAATTAAGCCATTGATCTTATATCCAAGCAATTTTGTATATTCTTCATATGTTCTATTAGTTAAAACTGTCTTTCGTACTTTCTTCAAAGTTTTCTCTTAGAGGGTGTTAGTTACTCTATGAATATACAATTTGTTAAATCTAACTTTGATGTTTCGATTGCACTCGGGAGAAACATCAACTATTATCTTAAAAAGTCATTACGCGCCTTAAAGCTATGATTTGAAATTATATGTAATTTTTTTAATTATTTTGTTTCAGGATATCATTATTTATTAGCACATCTATATTTATAATGTGAACATTTGTTGCAACAATTTGACGATATTATTATTGTCTTAATCCATTCTAACAATTTCTTTCTTACACAATAACGACATATATATGATCTACTTTTCATACACAAACTTGGGATTTACGATCACAAATAAGAACAATTCAGCAGTCAAGGGATCTTCATCTATCAGACAGAAAGGGTTGTTGCAGAGCATCCTCAGGACTCCTTTATTCATGAGATGCCATAACGTTTGATGCATGAGATGAAGGTACAATCATTTTAGCTGCAGCCCCCAGCAGCAAACCCAATCCTTGAATTGGAGACATCATAAGCCACGATATATGTCTGCAGTTGAATGTTCCCAATAATGGTCGTGCCACCATTGTCCGAGTAATCTGCGAAGGCCAAGCACAATGTGCCCTCCTCATTCCCTTCTACAAGAACGTTTTGAGGCGCAAGAGTGAGTTCAGCCTCTCCTTGAAACACCATCCGAAACTCAGGCACATCTGATGACATCTCCTTCAAACTACCTTTATAACATGTATCTAGAAAATCAGAAGGCGAGGTAGTTAGGATAGTCTTGTTCTTTGACGACATGATGCTCCTGAACTCCTCACGGAGAATTGCATACACTGAAGTAGGCAAGCTCGTGACCACCGTCCCAGAATCTATAATTGCTGGATCCTTATTGTAATCCACTCCCAGTGTCCTGCCTGCCACTACAATCGCGGTCAAATTCAAACCATAAAAGCTGCTATCTTTGGAATTAGTAAGCAATGGAGTGAACTTGTAGGATGTTCCCATCAATGAATCCTTTCCTATGGACAATGAGCCTACACTGCCTCTCCGTGCTGTTGGGAGGCAGTAGGAGAAGTCCTGTCCATATTTGGCTGACAGCTGAGAGATCATGGAGAGCTTGTTACGAGCCATGCCAACCAGGCCAGCAGACTCACCGAAGAAGTCCATCCGGTTTTCATTGTCCTGCCCACACCCGTACACAAAACCAGGCAATGTTTCTGATTGTGTTAGGGTCAGTGAATCCCGACTCAAGTAGCCAACGGAGAAAGATTCATCCACATAGCCAGCATTGTACTTGCACTCGCTAGGACAAGTGCAATCACGGCCATCTGGAATGGCTTCCCCGAGTAAATTGCACTCGGTTGTTGAGCAGGGTAACTTTTTGTAGGTGCTGGATGTAGAGGGATCGAAATTGGGAAGGTCAGATCCGTTGCAGTGCCAGCAAGGCTGGCATTGCACCCAGGAGAAGGAGCTGTCAGTGTCGATGATCACCGGATAGAATTTGGGTGGAGTGCCAAGGCCAATGTTGACATAGTAATTGCCCTTATTCAGAGGAACAGTTTTAAAGAGTGTGCTGATGAAGTCTGATCCAAAGGGGTGTTTTGATTTGTGAGTCATGTCTGTGCACATGATACAAGGGCACGTGCAAAGTTGAATGGTTGAATCCTTGCTCTGCTTCTGCCCAAATAAGTGAAATACAAGAAAGTTAATTAATGTCCCTTCTCAGCTATCAATATTGTTATGCACGACATATAATACTTATATGGTCATTCCCAATAATAAAAACTATATACATCTCATATGTGAACAAAGAAATTAAATGTTACATATATATATATAGGTAGATATATGATATGATGCAAACAACACTGAACCAAATGAGATTAACCACATATATCACATACCTTGATGCCTAGCAAATGATTTGCCTTGATGCCTTGCAAATGAAGATGTTGTAAGCAGAAGAAAAGAAGCCAGGAACCAAACCAACCCCATTTCTCCTACACCTTTTGTAATGCTACAAGTAAATTTTATGTACGCAATTCTTTATATATATATATATATATATATGCATATATATATCACACATGAAGAAAAGCAAAAGTTTGGATAACAATTTTAGGACGACTTGAGTGTTCACATTACTTTATGAACGCGTTTGCGACGACTTCAGCTTTCACATGAGTCACATGACTACGAACAATTTTGGGACAACTTGGGTCTCAACCAGTCTACCAGTTCTAAATTGAGAGGGGTCCATTCCACGATAAGAAAGAGTGAGTATAGAAAAGTGCAGGAGTGTTCTTTAAGAAGAAAGTTCCAAGAAAATCATATGCAAACAAATTTTTTAACAAAAATTTCCGCCCCAACAGTAATAGCATTACAAATTTTTATTTATTTATTTATTTTTATCTAATGTTTCAAACGCTTCACAGAATGAAAGAAATAAAAAGATAATTACCAATCCTGAAAACTTTTAGTACCTAAATTCATTGAAATAAGAATAGAATGCTTTACATTTTTCTTTTCATAATATGTAAGGTCCACAAGGGCAGCTTTGTCCTTGCTCATCTTTTCTCTTTTCAAAGTGAGACCGACCCCCCGTGAGCTCCAATAATTTATAAAGGGCAATGATCTGTTTCGGAGACGCTACCATTTTTCATTAATCATTTATGTGAAAATCATAATATGATGCAAGGACTATGCTGCAAGGACTACGTCAAGTCAATGATCCTAGAGAAACCTTTAAAATGATATTTTCAATTCAATTATTAGTTCCTTGAGTCTCTATAGTCTTAGGATTGAGCTTTCATCAAAATGTATCACAAATTATTATACATTGAATCTAGTTTTCACCAAGTGCCTGTAATACCCATAGTCTTAAACTTAATTGTCTTCAATAGCTTTGGGTTCCTTTATTTCCATCACCGCGGGCTAAGATTCAATTGAGGTTTACCTTTTTGTTCATCATATTCTTTGAATTTAAGATTAAAACTTGATTATCACACAAGTAAAAGAATATTAACATCACACTTTAATAGTTTGTTAAAATTATCTAGATGCCCTAGTGGAAACCTTTGGGTGAACAAGTTATTATTGTGGGAGAGGACAAATAATATACGGCGGTGACATTATACTTGTATTAGTATTTCATTTTTTGTTTTTTTTAAGATAATTCGGGATATCTAAGGCTTTACCCCTGACTATTTCCCGAGGACCCAGAAAAGGCGTCTCCCTATTCCAGGCCAGGTAAGTCGCTGAGTATGGCAACGAATGCGTGGCCCCAAGTTATGGTAAGTTCTTAGTGAAAATCGAATCACAAATCTTAGTGCTAGTAAGCACCCAATCCCAAATAATTTTACCAGTAGACCAACCCCTTAGAGTTTAGTATACTTGTTTTAGTAGATTAAAGGAAAAATTCTTTATTAACACATCTAATTTGAGTGTCGCTCAAATTTATTAGCAACATCAATTTTTACGAAATTATGGGAATTTAGCACATCAATTCGTATGAATGGGGATGTTGGCTATGTTGCATAACTTCTATTTAAATAATGAAATATATGGTTTGATGTTAGTTAAATCAAACAAATAATTTTTTTCTTTTTTTATAGAATAGAGTTTTAAAGTTATACAAAGAGGATTTTTTTTTTTTTTTTTGTTCCTCTTAGTTGGGACTCACACACACTTAAACGGGTCCTAACCCTCCCCAAAAACATCCAAGGGTAAAACAGTAATTTCACGTTAAAATTAAATATTATGGTCCAAAAAGGGTAAGATGGTAATTTACCACAATTCAATAAATTGAGACTCAAGGGTACAATGGTCATTAACTTGTATCACATAGTAAATAAAATAAGATTTGGGGCAATATAGTCCTTTCGGGGGTTAAAATATAATTATGGCATTTTATTGGGTCATAATATAATTACTTGCAACATCAATTGGGTGCCAAATGTAATTTAAGAACTTAAATTGGCAATTACATAAAAGGACAGAACCGGTCGACGTATACACCTTATACGTCGACTGGTTTGGGTTATGAACAGTGGGAAAACCTACTGCCATGATACTGGTCGACGTATGGGGAGCCATACGTCGACTGGTTTGGGACGTCAACTACTCAAACATACACTGTGAAGATACCAGTCGACTGGTTTGGGTAACTGTACGTCGACCGGTTCTAGAAAATCTTTACTCCCACCTTCCACTGTCGCCCTATACACCAACTTTTGGTCGTTAAGCCACCCACATCACTATACTTACGTGCAAAATTAATACATTTCAATAATAAATTCCAGTACAACAATCACGTTATTATCGTAATTTACCACACGTCACTAAAATACACTAGAGGATTTAGTGTAATTAAAAGTTAATTACATTTTAACATCAAATAAAATTACAACAACCATAAATAACATGAATCACCACACGTTACTTAATTACACAAAAGGCTTATGATTGAATAAAACTTAATTACGTTATCCAATGGCCTACATTGCAAACTTATTTACATTCTCCAAAAAACTATGATTATACGTGAAATGGCCGAATACAAAATAGCAAAAAACTCATCTTCAAACAACTTTCAAACTTGCGGAGGATTCTCATCCGCCATTTCCTTGCCATGACCTAAGAAATATAATATATAGTGGGGTGAGCAGATTGCTCAGTAGGTGACACTTAAACACACGTCTTGCGTCCTCGTGAATCCATACAAAGAATAGACCAATAGGAAATGGGGATCATACAATGTCGGGACAATTTAACATTTCGACCAACTCAATTACAAACGATGCAATGCCATGAAATGCAAATGCATGTTGATGTCACTCCCCATATTCATTTCTCAAAACCATCACTTTCAAACGGTTAATATAACCCGCCCTTTGGTGACCCTGCAACGATAAAGAGGAGGATTGGCTAGTGTCCCTGACCCTTGGTACCCCCGCGGCGTCATTATGGGGCCCAATTAGCTCAACCACGCTAGGATGACTCCCTAGTCCCCTCTAGGCTATATTAACCCTCCGGCCCTTTGGTACCCCCGCGACGACCGATTTTTTTCAAAACACTTTTAATCAAAACATTCTCTCCCAAAACTCCCCTTTTTCATTTCAAAAACAATTTCTTCTCATTTCCTTGCCCAATGTAATGCATAGATGCATTTATGTTATGTCAATATTCACCATTTCACAATTAGTTCAAGTTGTCTAACAAAGCATGGTTCACAAGAGTTGCTAGAGAATCCACAACATGCTCTCATAGAATAACATCTAACATTTTAAGCATTCAAAAGTCACCACATAGACATGTTTTTCACATAATTTGAATTAATACATCTACTCATGTATTTATACATATTCAACCAAATCAAAGTAAGCTATAATCAACACAATTGGGCTTGCTAGAATACAAATCAAGTGAATTGACTCACTAAAGTACAAGACATCATGGATTAAGGGCCCCTACCTTAAAATTGGACAAAACCCTTGAAATGGGTTCTCAAATTCGAACTCCAAAGGAATGCTCAAAGCTGAGATTGATGGTACTCACGCGTAAAGCTCGTCGTGCTCTCCGTTTCGCCTGAAACGTCACTCAAAAACTCCAAGAAGTGAAAAAGTTATCAAGATTCAAAGATTTGAAACCAAAAATGAAAAAGAAAAGCTAGGACCAAGAGGGAGGGAGAGAACTTACGGGAGAATGAAAAATGTGAGAGCAAAGATATGGTCTCAAGACCACATTTGAGGTAGTGGTGGGTCCCACCTTAATTTTCTTTTCTTTTTCCTTTTTCTTTTACTTCAATTCTTACACCACACACATAAATGTACCACATCAAGATGTTACATTATTCACATAATTAAGATGCACAAAAAAATGCAACTAGACCCAACCATAATCCCGTACGCAAAATGTGAAAAGACGAAAATACCCTTGCGGCGACAACATTCCGGAAAAAAGAAAAATGCAAAAAATCGGAAACGTTACAATCTCCCCAACTTAAAAGGATTTCATCCCCGAAATCAAGCCATACTTGGGGAAGAGAACAATTCTGGGTACATGGAGCGAACCTGCTTTTCCAGCTCCCAAGTAGCCTCTTCGACTCCATGGTGTCTCCAAAAAACTTTCACTAGCGATATCTTTTTACCCCTTAACACCTTCTGCAGTGTGTCAAGGATCTGAACTGGTCCCTCTTCATAGGAGACATCTTCATCAATGTCCACATCAACCCCATCCAAAATGTGAGAAGGATCCGGTTCGTACTTCCGTAACATCGATACATGAAAAACATTGTGGACTCTGTCCATCTGTGGTGGTAAAACAAGTCTGTAGGCAATCTCTCCTACACGGTCCAAAATCTCAAACGGTCCTATAAATCGTGGCGACAACTTGCCACTTTTCCCAAATCTCATCAAACCTTTCCGTGGGGAAACCCGTAGAAAAACATGGTCTCCTACTTCAAAAGCTAGCGGTCGTCTCCGCCTATCTACATAGCTCTTCTGTCGACTCTGAGCCATGAGCAACCTCTGTCTAATCAATTTAATTTTCTCAGTAGTCTCGAGTACAATGTCGGGTCCTAAAGCAACTGTCTCGCCTACCTCAGTCCAACAAACTGGAGACCTACAAGGTCTACCATACAACGCCTCAAATGGAGTCATCTCAATGCTCACTTGATAACTATTGTTGTAAGCAAACTCAATGAGTGGTAGATGATATTCCCAACTGCCACCCAAGTCAAGCACACATGCCCGGAGCATATCCTCCAAGATCTGGATAGTACGCTCCAACTGGTCGTCCATCTACGGATGGAATGCCGTACTGAGGTGCAACGCTGAGCCAAACGCTGCTTGAAGTCCTTCCCAAAACTTCGAAGTGAATTTAGCATCCCTGTCCGAAACAATGGTTACTAGAACTCCAAAAAACCTTACAATCTTCTTCACGTAAAGAACGCCAAGCACCTCTGCATCATCTGTTACCTTAATAGGCAAAATGTGAGCCGTCTTGGTCAATCTGTCAATGA